AACAGTATAGGTGAGATCGTAAGCGCAAAGCGAACTTGGAGAAAAATATCGCTCGATCATTTCGTTGATCTGTGTCGGTACGTGGAACATGCGAAGGGCCTGCCACAGTAGCCTATGGGGAACTGCCCCATAGGCATTGGCGAGGTCCAGCCATATAACGTGCAATTCGGTTCTCTCATGCTTGGCCCTCTGAATAGACTCTCAGATCATGGTCACGTATTCAAGGCACTCAGGGACGCCCGGGATTCCACCTTTCTGAACACTCGTATCGATGTACTTGTTCGCCATCAAATACTGTGTGAGTCGGCGAGCCATAACCGAGTAGAATATTTTACCCTCAGCGCTCAACAGCGAAATAAGCCTGAATTGGGGAAGACTCTTCGAGTCTTGCTCTTTGGGAATGTAGACCCCGTTGGCCTGTTGCCACTCCGGACAAATGTGTTTTCGGCTCCACGCTAACCTCAGTAAACGGTGAAGCATTCGTAGGACTTTCGGACAACGCTTGTACAGAACATACGGCACACTATTCGGACATGGGGCAGATTTGCCACTAGCTCTTTTCACAACTTCCTCCACCTCAGACCAAGAGGGAGGTATCACTTTAAATGATACCTTCGGCAACTCAGACTGCTTAAGGCCGCTAAGGATCTCTAGATTGTTATCGAGAGGGTCATTCCTCTCCTTGTCAGAGTACATTTTGCGTAAATGTGACTCAAGCTCTTCTTTACTGACAACCAGAGTCCCAGACTTCGGTTGCTCGAATAGACCTCGGGCGAACTGGAACGGGTCCCTAAAGAATTTCTCTCGCTCCTTTTTGGTTCTCCTTCTGTTGTTACAGAAACGCTCCGCGCGACAGAGGGCACTGTGTCTGTTTCTTAGATGCAACCAGACTTCATGCAGCTCCTCCCGTTCGTTGCCTGCAGCGGCTTTGAACCGTTTTCTGAGTGCGTTCTTGTCTGCCCGGCTTTTCAGAATGTCCCTCTGTCTCCTGTTTGTATTCTGCTTGACGCCCGGCGGCGCCTTTTGGACTGTCCCGAACTCGCGGGAACAGTGCTCGTATATTACATTACCAAACTTTGTAAGCTTATCACCAAACGACTTCTTCTTTAAATCATGATTTACGTCCCACGACTGCATGCAGCCTACGTCCCGCGACTGTTTGCAGCGTATATTATAGGCTGCATGCAGTCGTTGAACGTAGGCTGCACTCTCTCGTGGGGCTCAGCTTAGGATTTGGCCTTTTGGGGTCAGTTCTATATGTCGTGGGGCCGTTAAAAGAACTCACATTGTGGAATATAGAACATTTGGTGACAGCCATAAATCCCCATACTCACTACTCCTTCTCTTTATCGTCGGTAGATGGACGAACAACCAGAACTTTTCGCTAGAATTTACAGCCTGTTAACGTGGAAGAAGAAAATGTCTTTTTTTTTTTAGTGTTCATCGCTTGTAAACTTCGGCAGAAAGTTATGGTTGTTAGTCCACTTCTGGACAGTAGACTTGTTCCAGAACTTGAATTTCAGCTTGCACATGTGTTTTACAGATCTGGCTTACTTTTATGCGGGCTGTGGCTCCTCACTTGACATCCCTAATTGGACGCCTTTTACGACACACTTTTTAGAGCAGCAGTGGATCCACCCCCCCCCCCCCCCCAATTAATATGCTGTGACATCCATACTGGGGAGAAGCCAATACAGCTTTCGGCGAAAAGGGGGTGGGGGTGGGGGGGGGGGGGGGGTTCTCCTCTGTGATACATATTTTCTAGGCAAAACAAAGAAAAGACGCTATGGGGCATAATCCTAGTTTAAGAGCATAATAATAATTATAGTCCGCTGAACAAAAATATAATATAGTATATAATATATATATTGTAAAAACAACTATTTTTAAAGAGAATGTTTACACATGGTTTAAGGAGATAACACGAACCACCTCCTTTACAAAGATATTTGGGGTCGTCAGAGGGGGGGGGGGAATTCAGGGGTCTGAGCCCTCAAGTAGCGGCGCCTATGCAGTATTACGGGCAACAGCTTTGCTTTTGCGGTGACCCCTCTGACCTCTCTCATAACTGTTGTGTGGTAGTCCCCAGGGTGAAGAGCCCTTTTGATAAATTGTTCTTGCCTAACAAAACTATATTGTAAATGAGTATTATCAAAGTTATGTATACTCAGCTCTTCTGTATTGTTCATAAATCTGGATAATGAACAAGCAACTCGAAAATCAAATTAGTCACTGGAAATATAAAAGAAAAAAGGCAGTATTTCCTGGGGGGAAAAAACATCAGAGACAGAGGTTATGAAGAAGGGATTGAAAGGATCTGGAACGTCCTGTAAAGGATACGCAACTGACATTTTAACTACTGTTGTTGGTCTCATAATTTCTGGTCTTTTTGGGACATGCAGAGTTTTCGTTATTCTCGTAATTTCACTTTCCCCCTTTCTGTCATTGCCAAGTCCTGATTTGGTTAGGAAATATAACAGAATTCTCCAACAAATATTAATTATAATGTGCAGAACCAACCCTAACATGTTTTGGCTGTTGTGGTTTCTCTAGGCAACACGTACGTTCAGATGTTTGTCATTTCTTTTTGAACCGTCAACTCTCAGTAGCACCATCGAATCCAGCACAAGACGTTTCTGCCTTCCAAAATCAAAAGCAGCTTGATCAACCCGGCACTCCGACATTAGAAAGCACATTGTAACAACCAAAGCCATATATGCCGATAGCACACGGCCGATTCATTTGAAAATGACAAATTAAATGGTTCTCGACTATTTATCTTAGCTGCTAATCTACAGTATAACTACAGGAATGGTGTACAGACGAAGACAGGAGTGAAGGAGAGGTCAACTATGCATACGACGGACAGACATGATAGCAAAAGTTCCTTATATCCCAGTATACGAAGCTACAGGGAGGCATCGTCTACAAGCAGTTTATACTTCATATGAATACAGCGAATATGACGAGTGGATCAAGAGTGATATTATGAAACATTAGTCTGGATCTGTTAACGCCTTTCACAAAAAAAACCCTAGACATGCTAGTGTTCGTGTATAACTCGCTGCGGGCGGGTTTAGATATAAAAGAGACCGTCCTCTGACCTTTAGAACAGTGGTACGAGAGCTACACTGTAGTAAAAAGATTATGTCTCTCCATTTAATATATTCAGGGACTTGGCCGTCACACGACATGCACCAATCCCAAAACAAAGGGAAAAGGG